CTTTGAGATCTACCAACTACAGCAACAGCAAAACAAACAAATAACCACAACACTTCACACACTTACTATACATCAGTTACTGTAATAAATAACTGATTTTCTAGTTAAACAATCTAGCATTTACATATACATGAGCATTTGATTGCATTTTTATGTGGAACTTTGAAGCACTGATCCAATTATAAACAACATTCTTAAGCTTACAGCAAATAATATATGAAACCTACAAAATGCTAGTTATTATGAAGGATTTAATAAACCCCCAAAGATATTATTTGATACATAATGGGAATAAGACAGACATAATTCCATACAGATTCTACCAGCTTCCCAATGACAAAAATAGAGGAGGACTAATGAAACTATGCTACTGAATCAGAAAACTCCAACCATTAGATAAGAATCCTGTCTCAGAAAACAACTGATAAAAGTCTGCTCTCATAAAACACATATACTTTCCCACTGGTTTATATACTGTTTATATAGACAGTTCTTGCCTCTTCCCCCCCAATAAATACAGAAGTAGCATTGCCATTTTGACCAAAGCCCACCTCATCTTTTATTAGGAAACATCAGCAGCCTGGGTATTATCTTCAAATTACATTAATAAACCCAGTCTGAAAGAGGATGTTGTGACACTTTCCCTGCAAGCCCTAGAGAAGACAAATCTCACACATGTACATTAAATCAGGAAAGTGGAAGACTTTGGTATTAGCAGTGTTTGGAACACTAAAGCATTTGCTTTTCAGGTCCCTGTAACAACAACGCACAGTGTTGTAAATTAACCCTTTTTCCTCACTGCTTAAAAGTGATCATCCAAAACCTCAGTGTTAAATATTTCATACGCAACAACCCACCGCTTACACTGTTTACTTGGAAAAATGAAGTGTTTGGACAAAACCTCTTTTTAACAGACTGCTGGAGAGCAGCGAGGCACAACACCTCACTGCCCCCAAGGGTCTGAGGTTGATTTGCCAAGACACACACCTCCTGTCCTTAGGAAAAAAGAGGAAATCCCAGACTGGTTTGTGTTGAAGGGACCTTAAAGCTCCTCCAGCTCCAACCCCTGCCCCGGGCAGGGACACCTTCCACTAGAGCAGGTTGCTCCAAGCCCCTGTGTCCAACCTGCCCTTGCACACTGCCAGGGATAAGGCATATGAGCACCTACGGCCAGCCACAGCTTCTCTGGGCACCCTGTGCCAGCGCCTCAGCACCCTCACAGGGAAGAGCTTCTGCCTCAGAGCTCATCTCAATCTCCCCTCTGGCAGGTTAAAGCCATTCCCCTTGGCCTGTCCCTACATCCCTTGTCCAAAGCCCCTCTCCAGGTTTCCTGGAGCCCCTTTAGGCACTGGAGCTGCTCTAAGGTCTCCCCGGAATAAGCTCCCACTTCGCTCTCGTGCCTCGATTTTATCACGTCAGGAACAGGGGCAAACCCAGCCCTGGCTCAGTCGGGAAGGCGAAGGAGCCAACCCCGCAGCGCCAGCCCCGCACACCCCCAGACACGTTACCACACAGCCCTTTCAACCAGCACTTGCTTCAACGACTGCGCGTTTCAGCGGCGGACAGAAAACACCCGCCTTGTGCCGCTTTCCCCAGCA